TATGCATTTACTCAGATATCGACATGAAAACACCGAAATGAAAAGAAAACACTTGATTGACTGGAAAACCAATGACTTACTGCGTTGTGGAAATCGTTGAGGAACCGCGATCACTGGCAAAATGTCAACTGTCAAATGGAGAAGTTAGAAAGACAATTCGGTTAATCGGAATGAGAATTTCAGCTTGTGAGGGAATGGAAATCGCAGATTGAATCACAGTAAACAAGTACATGCTGTGGATACTGCTGAATGTCACAGTGAGCTCAATTCTAAGGCGAACACATGCTCGTCCTCACTCACTCACTCACTCAGTCACTCACATACACGAACACACACGCACACACACACAAGACAAACGTAAACAATAATTCAATCGGATAAACACACACAACCACGAGTGAAATGAGAGTCTGACTGTCTGTCCGTTCACCTGTCTGTCTGTCTGTCTGCCTGCCTGCCTGCCTGCCTGTCGATTGCATCTGCATCCAATCCTAAGTGTATTCGCATATTCTCACTCTCTCTTCTACAACTATGCACAACTCTCAAACGCACAATCACATTGAAATCGGAGGAATGATACATTTCACTGAGGAGAAAGCAAACCACCTACCTGGTTGGCGAACATGTCGATATCCCTCTGAAAAACAAGAAAGAGACAAAATCAGGGGACTGAAGTCAATATATATGTCGAATGTTCTCAATGAGTTCTCAAATCAACCGAGTGGAACATTATTCAGCACTACTGGAAATCAAGTGTATGCAATGATGCGATGATGGAGGCGTGAATAACTAACTGTTGATGTTAAGACTATCTCAGGTGTCTTCTTGTATGTCACACTTTTCACACGCACAGTTAGCTTTGTGCATCCATGCGTCCTACACTGATTTCCATGTGTCACAGCTGTCCGAAACACTTCCCACAATTACTTCACCAATTAGAGAGTGAACAATGTGGAAACAACTGAATCCACTCGATTTCGTGTGCTGAAAAATCCCGACAGACTCGCTACATTCATATGTGATAAATATCTCGGTGGATTAGTGTGTGTGTCGATGTCAAATGCAAACAACTCCATTCAATTCAGTAATGAAATGAACAATGAAGAAGTCTCTTCACATCTTAACTATTGCTAACACTGGGAGGAGATTGATGAGACGACGAATGTCACGACTGAATACACCACCAATGCAGTGAACAAGTGGAAAATATTCCCAAGATGTTAAGTCACAGCCTAACGTCGACTAGTAACCACGTCAGGATTGCTTCGTCATAATAGAGATGATTACGGCTGATCAAACTTCGAAGTGGTCAGACACGTGACTGAGTGAAGAATGAAGAATACTGAAGTGAATAATGAGACGATATTAATGAGATGAAAGTAAATTGAGAGAAGCACAATTAAATGTCAGTGAATTGAAATAAATTGGAAGTGATGTAATGCACTGGATTGTCGATGAATGTGACTTACGTCTTCCAGCTCTCCTGTGAACAGCGAATTTCTCATAAACTGGTCCTGCAGAAAGACACAGAAATTGCAGACATTCAATCAGTTAGTTGTCAGACAATGTAATCAATCAATCAATCAGTCAATCAATACTGAACATCTGACTTCCACTCTGTCTTCCTTCCCTCAGCCCACCTTTGTTCAGAATGCCTCATGGTGTGAGTACATTTGTGTCTGTGTACATATATATATATATTATTATATATATATATATATGTGTGTGTGTGTTGGCTGACGTGTATATGGACAGATGAAGACTCAGTGTAGGTGGTGAATACACTAAACGCCTCCGGTGTGATTCTACGGAATTCGAATTCGCCGTCCATGTCCTGCGTGTAAGTGATAAGTGCAAACAGCTGACGTGAATATGACAACGGATACAATCAGTGAGACTCTAGATGTCCTAGTCATCAATCACATCCGATTATGGATTTCATTCCTTTCCTACAAAACATGCAGAAGTCGGGTATCCTTTCGGAATTTCTCACACGCCAGTTACAGTATACACAAACAAATTTCAAATGAATGCAGACACTGTCTCACAACATCCACATCCATATCAATACTTCAGCGAGTTCAATGTCAACAAACACATGCGAGAATCTCGATCAATTCGAAGCACGTGAACCAGATTGTTATCTAACCTGTCGGTTAACTGGCGTATTTATGCATTTACTCAGATATCGACATGAAAACACCGAAATGAAAAGAAAACACTTGATTGACTGGAAAACCAATGACTTACTGCGTTGTGGAAATCGTTGAGGAACCGCGATTACTGGCAAAATGTCAACTGTCAAATGGAGAAGTTAGAAAGACAATTGGTTAATCGGAATGAGAATTTCAGCTTGTGAGGGAATGGAAATCGCAGATTGAATCACAGTAAACAAGTACATGCTGTGGATACTGCTGAATGTCACAGTGAGCTCAATTCTAAGGCGAACACATGCTCGTCCTAACTCACTCACCCACTCACTCAGTCACTCACATACACGAACACACACGCACACACACACATGACAAACGTAAACAATAATTCAATCGGATAAACACACACAACCACGAGTGAAATGAGAGTCTGACTGTCTGTCCGTTCACCTGTCTGTCTGTCTGTCTGCCTGCCTGCTGCCTGCCTGCCTGCCTGCCTGTCGATTGCATCTGCATCCAATCCTAAGTGTATTCGCATATTCTCACTCTCTCTTCTACAACTATGCACAACTCTCAAACGCACAATCACATTGAAATCGGAGGAATGATACATTTCACTGAGGAGAAAGCAAACCACCTACCTGGTTGGCGAACACGTCGATATCCCTCTGAAAAACAAGAAAGAGACAAAATCAGGGGACTGAAGTCAATATATATGTCGAATGTTCTCAATGAGTTCTCAAATCAACCGAGTGGAACATTATTCAGCACTACTGGAAATCAAGTGTATGCAATGATGCGATGATGGAGGCGTGAATAACTAACTGTTGATGTTAAGACTATCTCAGGTGTCTTGTTTTATATTTTTCATTTCTCCTTTGATTTTTATTTTCTTTGATATTTATTTTATGTCTTATTGTTATTCTTCCGCTTTTAGATTTCAGCAGAGGTGTCCCGGTGAATTGTTTTTCCTTGCTCTATTAATTCACCGTTTTATTTCAATGCATGTATTTTCTTGTGCCCTGATATTTACTGTTTGATTTTCACTTGCAATTTTTTCGCTCTAATTATTATTTTTATTTCAATAATATATCAGTTTTTCCAGTATTTTTTCTGGAATCTTGTTATATTAGGACTATATACTTTAAATTATCACGTGTGTATGTTTGTGATTATCTTCATTCTACTTTGTATTTCCTCGTTTCCTTGGTGAACATTTCTAATCAGGATATTATATCTATTCATATTATTCATGTTTTCTCATTTTTCATTTGTTTAACTTATTCGTGGTTTACACTTCACTTTGACTTTTCTTAACTTGCTTACATGGTCCCAGCACTTTTCACTTTCATTCCAATATCCTTTATTCAGTCTTTTGTGTTTCGATTTTATCTTACTTTTTGTCTGTAATAATCGTGTCAAGTGATCATGTTAATAGTTTTAAGAAGTTTATTTTGCTCGAATCCTCATGAGTTTGTTAAATGTTTATCACTCTTAGTTATATCATACATTGTATCTATCATGCAATATTCTGGTTTGTACAGATATATGCTTTTTACAGGCATCTACATATAAACACAGGAATTAATTGAAAGACTCTTTTGAGTGGAAAACTGTTTACTCACTTGATCCTGAATCATATCTATGGAAGGAAATTCGGGGCATTATGTGAACTGTGAAAGAAAGGAAAGCAGTAATTATTTCTATTTTAATATCATTATTATTATTTTTGTTGAAAATTTCCACTGTCTTTTCGTGTTCATTCGTCTTTCCTTTATGCAATCTGTGTAAAATTTCTTAGTTCTATTTGTGTCTGCAGTTTTCCCCTGAAATAGGTGGTCTTGTTTGTGCATGAGGCTGTATACATATGAAAATTGTTCTGATGGTGTATTTTTTAATCTACATTTTACGGATATGTTTGAATTGGTAAACATTAACCAGCTCTTTCTTTAGTCGGTGCAAATAGAAGCATCTGGAGACGAAATTAAATGTTTTTCTGGTTTTGTGGATTGAGCTGTAAACTTCAATATTTCCCCAAAACTCGCAAGCTTACGGTGGAAAAAATAATAATTATTATTATTATGACAGCAATAATAATTGCAGGTTATATACATATAAGTACTAGTGTATTCGGAAGGAAGAGAATATATGGGGATGGCTAGCTTGACAAATGTTACTGTGGCAGAAGTGTATTATTCAACTTTTACTTGATCTATTATGACATTTCAGACGTAAGCATTTCTCCACGTCTTAATTATTTACAATACTGAATGATTCTACACTGGCAATATTATGTCCATAAACAAGATATCTCGTTATTGAATATCTCTTGATTTTAAATTTTACCTACCATAACTATTTATTTATGTAACTAGTAAAATAATAGCAGTCACACATGAAAAGATATCTGCATTAAGAGATGTGTGACTGATCGTTTCGTTCATTACGAATGGTTACAATATTGCATAATGGTGTAGTGTAAAATGGTGAAATGTGAATTAGCTACACTTTTATCACCTCATTAGGCATTCACTGCATTGTGCGCTACTTTCTGTCTTCATTAGGTTGAAAATTGTGTGTACGGAATTTCGTACCCATAAATCATACACTAATTGATGAACCTTCTACGAAATCCATTCAGAAGTAGAATATCTTTCGAAGCCGATTAGACTGCAATAAAACGAAATCAGTGTGATCGACAATGCTGTTGAGGTTAATCTCCAATAAAGTACAATAAAGGCATCTTCCATATGTTAGTGAAACATATACTGTTCAAACTGCACAACTCTGTAAAGAATAGAAACAAGTACTTAGAAAAGGTTCCTATGGAACATTCCCTAATGACACTTATAACTTAAGAAAATAGATCAATGAACTCATAGGTAAAGTACATAAATCTACAGATTCTAAACAAGACACGAAAACGAGAGGTACAATAACACAACGGAAACGTACGATTCACAATTGGATGGAAAAGACGTGACCCAGGCAAAGTATTAACTAAAAACAAAAGAAATTTAGAAAATACTGTTAGGCAACTCGAATAATATGTATAAATAAAAATAGAGTATAGTGGAATGCTAATCGGCACCAAATTCATGCTTCAACAGATCTATTACAAAGGTAAACTTGCGACATCCTCCACTTCATTGATTAGAGGAATATTAACTCACTTGGCTGTATAACAGGTTGTGGAATCGCGACTACTGGCACAAAGTCAACTGTCAAATGAAGAAGAATGAAAGACAGTATGATAAGTCGATATGAACCTTGCAATGTATGAGAAGTAAAAAACACTCATCGATGAATGTATTATGAACTGTTTTATATCTTGTTGTGTGGCACAGAACCTTATAACAATCGGTATAATGTTCTACATGAATGGAAATTTCACGATGATTATGTCTTACTGATTTTTTGTGGACTTCTGTAGCAAGATTCTGTATTTATTCATCTGTTGTCAAACGAAGTGCACAGTTTTGATTTTTGTCGAATATACAGTCGGAATTTCTATGTCATTTGCGAATATCTTCATTATTATATGACTTGTAGTTGTATACCTAAAAATAGTTGTGCTTTTTATCTCGGCTTTCGTTTTCTCATATCAGACTTTTCAGTTGATCACAATATTCCCATCTGTTCTGATCATTATCGGTAAAAGACAACACTACTGAGTTGCTTAATTCTCATTATCGGACTGCCGAATAGCTTTTAACTAATATACGACTCGCATTCTTTCAATAAAGTCAGGTTCACGGACAGTTGTTCTTATTATCACTTCTGTGGTAGGTTACTTTAGAAGTTGTCATTTTGTTTGGACGTATTCATATGAATAACAGTTACCTTAACTAAGAAGCAAATAGCTTTATACCGTATTGTTTCTGACGTCTGTTTAGTTATTCAGCAAGAGTTTCCGCAAATTAATGTAGCACCCTTAAGAAATTGATGAATATCTCTAACTAATCAATTGTCCTTCCGTTGACACACTATCAGTATCTGATTTGGTGACTTTTGTGTTTAGTAAAAATAATAAAGACTATCTTATTCAGTACCTCCACATTACTGACCTCGTTTCCAGCAACCCAATCGCACATTTCCTATTCCATGCTTTCCATGCTACAGATTACTCATTTCCCACCACGTCTGGTCATCACTAATTCTCACAAGAGTTGTGAATGCTCTGTGAACAGAACAACCAGACATGTCCTATCTGAGTTGTCCCATCCGACTAAGATACATAATCAGAAAATATGATACTCAGGAATTCGAGATGAGACTGGTTATCATTGTGGAAGGAGGCCTATGGAATCAGCATTATTGTCACACACAAGTGTGTCCGTAAATTGTATGCGCCTTAGCCTTTTGAAGGCAAAGGGTGTGTGAGCACACTGAATTTATTAACAGCATCCTTCACGTAAGCGGAATCTAACCTCATCGGTTGGAATCATCCATAGATGCACAGTAGTGCAGGAGTCAAAATTAAATTAGTCATATGTGTAATCAAAGTAAAACAAATTTAATTTCAGTGATGAGAGAAAAATAAACATACTTGGTTGTGGATATGGCCCATATCTTGCTGGAAAAAAGAAAGAGAAAAAATAATAAAGTGAATGTATGAGATTTGTTAATTTACTTAGATCAAGTCAGATGGAACTTCATTCTCCCTAGTAAATGTCGAGCATTCTCTTTGTCAAAACTAATTGCGATAGTGTTGTTATGTTTGAAATCTCTAAATCCAACACACAGCCTTGGTCCAGATGGTGTACCAGGCATTCTTCTTCAAAAGTGTGCAGACATCTTGTGTCATCCTCTTGCTCAAATCTTTAATGCATCATTTAACAAGGAAGCGGTACCTGCTGACTGGAAAGAAATCAAGGTTGTACCTGTACAGAAATCATCTTCTGGAGCAGGTATAAAGTTTAGACCGGTCGCTATAACATCTCCTTTTTTGAAAACTATGGAGAAACTTCTTTTGAATACTCTTAAACCTTCTTTAAAAACTTTTAGTGACCCTAAGCAGTTTGCTTATAAGTGTGGAAGAAGTACATTAGATGCAGCCATTGTACTAAACCACAATATTGTTTCCAGCCTTGATAAGGGTGCTAAGTTTGTTCGAACAGCTTTTTCAGACTATACTGCAGCTTTCGACTCTGTTCCTAGGACACTTTTATTAGGAAAGATGATTTCAGCACAGACAGAGTCCTGGGCAACTAGATGGCTGTCTTCTTATTTTAAGGATAGGAAACAGCATACTGTTTTGGCTGGAAAGCGCTCCACTTCTCAGCTAACTGAAAGTGGTGTGCCTCAAGGTGCAGTACTTTCTCCATTTCTTTTCTCTTTCTTTTTGCATGACCTTCCGAACTCACCCAAAGTTAACTTCATTAAGTATGCTGATGATCTGACCGTTTCTGTCCCTGTAGTTTCCACATCGGATTGTTCCCATATGAATGGCTTCTTAGCTGAAGTCAAGGATTGGTCTAGCTCAAATGGTCTTAAACTAAATCCAACTAAATGTAATACTGTTGATTTCAGCTTGAGAAGTGAAAAAGACATGCATGGATTGATCCAATCTCATGACTGTTGTAATATTGATGGTAACATGATAGATAGTAAGTCAAGTGTTTCTTATCTTGGCATTAGTTTCTCTTCAAACCTTTGCTGGTCGTCTCATATTCTAATAGTTTCTAAGAAGATTTTCTGTCTGACTTATTACATAAAGAAGCTGAGGCACTCAGGTATAACCCAATCTCTTCTCATACAATTTATTAATTCATGTGTTTTGCTCATCATTCTTTATTGTTCTCCATTATTCTTCCCTGGGCTACTCAAGAAAGACCATATAATACTACGAAGAACATTGAAGGCTGTAAGTAGGGTCAGTGCTATCCCTTTGACTCAACTAACCGACACTGTTGTCAATAGGCACATGAATTCTTGTAAACACTTAGCTAAAGTTACTTTGTCTGATAGTGAACATCCTCTTTATTTACATTTTTTCCTTGTATCTCTTCGGGTAAGACCAGAAGAAATTTCATAAACATTTATGCTCGTACTACAAAATATAAAAATTCGACCGTACCATGTTTGGCACGAGTGTTGTGTGAAGAGACAAATATCAGAAAAGAACTTTTACAACTTTTAAATCATTAACTAAACTATAAAATGTAATGATGCATATTATTGCATGTGTGATTTGTTATATTATTTATTTATTATTCACTATGACCTAGAAATGGTATATTTTGTTGGGCTTTTTATTTTTCCTATTAACTATCAATATTTTTGAAATTTTATACATTTATATAATTATAAACAGAGCTAAACCATTGCAATATGTAAAAGAAACGCTGAAAATTCCATGCTGTAAATTGTTATTGTTGTGGAATAAAGTGATTATTATTATATTATTAGTAAAAAATAACACAGCTTTCGACTTCTGAAGTTTTGTCTTCAGCCAAAGTATTCCTTTCTTTAGCGATTATTTCCAGTGAGGCTTTTTTATTTTGAACACCCTCGATATTTGATCCCCTGACTAAAGATTTCCTCAATACTGGAACAGGATTCCAGCAGTGGGATCGCATATAGCTCAGTAATGTATTCAGTACTACTGGTCATCCACCTTTAAAGATTCTCATTTATTTATACTAATCAGTATTTTACACCATCCACCTATGTGATTTTAAATGAACAGATGATCAGTATGGCTATCCTCTTGTTCGTATGTCCTTTTCGTGTTTTACTGTCAATTATTGTATGGTTTATGTTTCCTTAAGGTTTATCTTATTTCCATGTTTTCGTTTAACGGTAAATGATCCCGTAACTTTCATTTGAATTAACACAATTCAGACCAATGTCTGTTTAATAGTGTGAATTCAAGTGAATATACTACACACTGTGGCAGTTGGCATTTGTTTCGCTTTCAATAATGTTTATAGAAATTTAGTTAGTTAACAAACTTATGTTTTAAAGTGCATTCGTAAAATTGTGACTTACGTCTTCTAACCGGTCTACGAGGAACGAATTTCCGGGTTGCTGGTACTGTGATAAAGTAAAAGGAATTATAATAAGCAAGTCGTTACTTGATACAAGGAAATATGTTTAATACTAACTCATCCATTGAAATAGCATTCTTATGCTCTTTTATGCTCTCATCTTTATCTGCATATTCTTCCGCCATTTATTTTCGTATGCCACTTTACTAATACAGCCATTTTGATTGGATTTTAATTTCTCAATATTTCTTGCCCACTAGGCATAGTTAGACAAATCGTATGTGACATTTTCTATATTCAAACTATTCTCAGTGAATGTTTAACCAACTCAATAATGTTAAGTAATGGTTTACACTAATATGAACTGCTAATTGTTCACGCTCACGGTTATTTCAACTAATAATACGAGATTGGGAAGCATGCCCAGATGGCAAACGGAATGCGAAGATATGGCATAAAAGTGCTGGGTATCTGCGAGAGCAGATGAAATGGATGTGGATTATCCAAATTGTCAGCTGTAGAGTCGGGAGACTACTCCAGTATGGTCACCGAGACGACAACTACGAGCACACTGAGTCAGTGAGTGGTTATCATGATGTCACCGGTAGCAGCCAAAGCCCTAAAACAGGATAATTACAACCATATTCAACTCAAAAGGAAGGAAATTCACAATCATCCAATGCTACGCACAGTGCTATAATCAACGTGGAATAAGATATGAAGGGAGATTTTCACAGGCAACCATAAAAAGTAATGGAACAGCATCCCGTATGGTGTCAGTGTGAGCAAAGAACACAGGAAGAGAATTCGTCGTGGGTCGAGAGATGTCGTTCGTAGAAATGACTGAGAACGAAATGCTTTCCTTATAATTTTGCGTTTTCAATGATTCGACGACCAGAGGCAGAACACGCAAGCGAAGGAAATATATATATATAGAAACAAGGATTCCGCCTGAAGGGCACACAACAAAACAAGATAGATTTCCACTCAATATCAAGAAGGTGGAGAAGTAGGATGTAAGGCACGACGACAAGAAGAGAATAAGAGATGGGCCCAGAGCAAAAAAATGCTATAAGAACCTATAACCTGAAGAAGAAAAACCAGAGAACAGAGCCAAACATAACACACAGAGTCAAAAACGATTTCAAGAAACCGAAAGATAAAAATAGACATATCAGAATGAGTGAGGGTGTGTGAGAATAGGCGAAAATACATGATATGTGCGTCACATTGTTTGTGTTGAGGAGTGAGTAGGAAGCCGGTAATTGTCGGTGAGAAACAATCTTCCTAACACCATTTCTCTCCCTTATTCATCGCTTTTGAAAATTCACATAATTGATAAGTGAACTCACTTGGAACAGGCGTCGTCGTCGTAGCCTTGGTTGTAGTAGTGGGCGGCACAGTGGTTGCTGTGAAGAGAGGAAAAACAAACACATGGCTAGAGGGAGGGATGATGGAGAAGTGATGTGGACTCGTGGAGTGACGAGCGTGTGTAGAGACAGACAGGTTGAGTGAGTTTCGGTGCACGAGTTCACTTGGTGATGGGTCTCGTGACTCTACAGAGAGCTAGTCGACTAGGCGAGAGCACTGACGATGTGAAGAAGAGTGAGAGGAAGAATTGAATGCATGGTGATGGTGTTTGTTGAGATGACGTGTTCGGAAGTTGTTGTGAGTGGGAGAGGAGTGGAGTGGGTATCTGAGTGCAGTCGTCAAGAGTTGTGACAGTGATGAGGATGGAATTGCATCGCACCAGGACTACAACTACACTGGATGTTGTGCGCATAACTGCGGCTGCTGCTGTGCCTGCCTCTGTTGCTGAGAAGCGTCGTGATGTCGAGAGAACATGGAGTCCAGTGGGTTGGTGTAGGCTAGGCACACCCCACTCTCACTGTTGTCACCAACAGACTGTTCTCACTCGAAACGGAGATATTTGGGACATGAGAATGTGTAATTGTGTGTGTGTGTGTTGTGTGTGTGCGTGCATGCGTGCCATGTGCGTCACAGTGTTTGTGTTGAGGAGTGAGTAGGAAGTCGCTATTTGTCGGTGTGAAACAATCTTCCTAACACCATTTCTCTCCCTTATTCATCGCTTTTGAAAATTCACATAATTGATAAGTGAACTCACTTGGAACAGGCGTCGTCGTCGTAGCCTTGGTTGTAGTAGTGGGCGGCACAGTGGTTGCTGTGAAGAGAGGAAAAACAAACACATGGCTAGAGGGAGGGATGATGGAGAAGTGATGTGGACTCGTGGAGTGACGAGCGTGTGTAGAGACAGACAGGTTGAGTGAGTTTCGGTGCACGAGTTCACTTGGTGATGGGTCTCGTGACTCTACAGAGAGCTAGTCGACTAGGCGAGAGCACTGACGATGTGAAGAAGAGTGAGAGGAAGAATTGAATGCATGGTGATGGTGTTTGTTGAGATGACGTGTTCGGACGGTGTTGTGAGTGGGAGAGGAGTGGAGTGGGGATCTGAGTGCAGTCGTCAAGAGTTGTGACAGTGATGAGGATGGAATTGCATCGCACCAGGACTACAACTACACTGGATGTTGTGCGCATAACTGCGGCTGCTGCTGTGCCTGCCTCTGTTGCTGAGAAGCGTCGTGATGTCGAGAGAACACGGAGTCCAGTGGGTTGGTGTAGGCTAGGCACACCCCACTCTCACTGTTGTCACCAACAGACTGTTCTCACTCGAAACGGAGATATTTGGGACATGAGAATGTGTAATTGTGTGTGTGTGTGTGTGTGCGTGCATGCGTGCCATGTGCGTCACAGTGTTTGTGTTGAGGAGTGAGTAGGAAGTCGGTGTGTGTCGGTGTGAAGCAATCTTCCTAACACCATTTCTCTCCCTTATTCATCGCTTTTGAAAATTCACATAATTGATAAGTGAACTCACTTGGAACAGGCGTCGTCGTCGTAGCCTTGGTTGTAGTAGTGGGCGGCACAGTGGTTGCTGTGAAGAGAGGAAAAACAAACACATGGCTAGAGGGAGGGATGATGGAGAAGTGATGTGGACTCGTGGAGTGACGAGCGTGTGTAGAGACAGACAGGTTGAGTGAGTTTCGGTGCACGAGTTCACTTGGTGATGGGTCTCGTGACTCTACAGAGAGCTAGTCGACTAGGCGAGAGCACTGACGATGTGAAGAAGAGTGAGAGGAAGAATTGAATGCATGGTGATGGTGTTTGTTGAGATGACGTGTTCGGACGGTGTTGTGAGTGGGAGAGGAGTGGAGTGGGGATCTGAGTCCAGTCGTCAAGAGTTGTGACAGTGATGACGATGGAATTGCATTGCACCAGGACTACAACTACACTGGATGTTGTGCGCATAACTGCGGCTGCTGCTGTGCCTGCCTCTGTTGCTGAGAAGCGTCGTGATGTCGAGAGAACATGGAGTCCAGTGGCTTGGTGTAGGCTAGGCACACCCCACTCTCACTGTTGTCACCAACAGACTGTTCTCACTCGAAACGGAGATATCTGGGACATGAGAATGTGTAATTGTGTGTGTGTGTGTGTGTGCGTGCATGCGTGCCATGTGCGTCACAGTGTTTGTGTTGAGGAGTGAGTAGGAAGTCGGTGTGTGTCGGTGTGAAGCAATCTTCCTAACACCATTTCTCTCCCTTATTCATCGCTTTTGAAAATTCACATAATTGATAAGTGAACTCACTTGGAACAGGCGTCGTCGTCGTAGCCTTGGTTGTAGTAGTGGGCGGCACAGTGGTTGCTGTGAAGAGAGGAAAAACAAACACATGGCTAGAGGGAGGGATGATGGAGAAGTGATGTGGACTCGTGGAGTGACGAGCGTGTGTAGAGACAGACAGGTTGAGTGAGTTTCGGTGCACGAGTTCACTTGGTGATGGGTCTCGTGACTCTACAGAGAGCTAGTCGACTAGGCGAGAGCACTGACGATGTGAAGAAGAGTGAGAGGAAGAATTGAATGCATGGTGATGGTGTTTGTTGAGATGACGTGTTCGGACGGTGTTGTGAGTGGGAGAGGCGTGGAGTGGGGATCTGAGTCCAGTCGTCAAGAGTTGTGACAGTGATGACGATGGAATTGCATTGCACCAGGACTACAACTACACTGGATGTTGTGCGCATAACTGCGGCTGCTGCTGTGGCTGCCTCTGTTGCTGAGAAGCGTCCTGATGTCGAGAGAACATGGAGTCCAGTGGCTTGGTGTAGGCTGGGCACACCCCACTCTCACTGTTGTCACCAACAGACTGTTCTCACTCGAAACGGAGATATCTGGGACATGAGAATGTGTAATTGTGTGTGTGTGTGTGTGTGCGTGCATGCGTGCCATGTGCGTCACAGTGTTTGTGTTGAGGAGTGAGTAGGAAGTCGGTGTGTGTCGGTGTGAAGCAATCTTGCTAACACCATTTCTCTCCCTTATTCATCGCTTTTGAAAATTCACATAATTGATAAGTGAACTCACTTGGAACAGGCGTCGTCGTCGTCGTAGCCTTGGTTGTAGTAGTGGGCGGCACAGTGGTTGCTGTGAAGAGAGGAAAAACAAACACATGGCTAGAGGGAGGGATGATGGAGAAGTGATGTGGACTCGTGGAGTGACGAGCGTGTGTAGAGACAGACAGGTTGAGTGAGTTTCGGTGCACGAGTTCACTTGGTGATGGGTCTCGTGACTCTACAGAGAGCTAGTCGACTAGGCGAGAGCACTGACGATGTGAAGAAGAGTGAGAGGAAGAATTGAATGCATGGTGATGGTGTTTGTTGAGATGACGTGTTCGGACGGTGTTGTGAGTGGGAGAGGAGTGGAGTGGGGATCTGAGTCCAGTCGTCAAGAGTTGTGACAGTGATGACGATGGAATTGCATTGCACCAGGACTACAACTACACTGGATGTTGTGCGCATAACTGCGGCTGCTGCTGTGGCTGCCTCTGTTGCTGAGAAGCGTCCTGATGTCGAGAGAACATGGAGTCCAGTGGCTTGGTGTAGGCTAGGCACACCCCACTCTCACTGTTGTCACCAACAGACTGTTCTCACTCGAAACGGAGATATCTGGGACATGAGAATGTGTAATTGTGTGTGTGTGTGTGTGTGCGTGCATGCGTGCCATGTGCGTCACAGTGTTTGTGTTGAGGAGTGAGTAGGAAGTCGGTGTGTGTCGGTGTGAAGCAATCTTCCTAACACCATTTCTCTCCCTTATTCATCGCTTTTGAAAATTCACATAATTGATAAGTGAACTCACTTGGAACAGGCGTCGTCGTCGTAGCCTTGGTTGTAGTAGTGGGCGGCACAGTGGTTGCTGTGAAGAGAGGAAAAACAAACACATGGCTAGAGGGAGGGATGATGGAGAAGTGATGTGGACTCGTGGAGTGACGAGCGTGTGTAGAGACAGACAGGTTGAGTGAGTTTCGGTGCACGAGTTCACTTGGTGATGGGTCTCGTGACTCTACAGAGAGCTAGTCGACTAGGCGAGAGCACTGACGATGTGAAGAAGAGTGAGAGGAAGAATTGAATGCATGGTGATGGTGTTTGTTGAGATGACGTGTTCGGACGGTGTTGTGAGTGGGAGAGGAGTGGGGATCTGAGTCCAGTCGTCAAGAGTTGTGACAGTGATGACGATGGAATTGCATTGCACCAGGACTACAACTACACTGGATGTTGTGCGCATAACTGCGGCTGCTGCTGTGGCTGCCTCTGTTGCTGAGAAGCGTCCTGATGTCGAGAGAACATGGAGTCCAGTGGCTTGGTGTAGGCTAGGCACACCCCACTCTCACTGTTGTCACCAACAGACTGTTCTCACTCGAAACGGAGATATCTGGGACATGAGAATGTGTAATTGTGTGTGTGTGTGTTGTGTGTGTGCGTGCATGCGTGCCATGTGCGTCACAGTGTTTGTGTTGAGGAGTGAGTAGGAAGTCGGTGTGTGTCGGTGTGAAGCAATCTTCCTAACACCATTTCTCTCCCTTATTCATCGCTTTTGAAAATTCACATAATTGATAAGTGAACTCACTTGGAACAGGTCGTCGTCGTCGTAGCCTTGGTTGTAGTAGTGGGCGGCACAGTGGTTGCTGTGAAGAGAGGAAAAACAAACACATGGCTAGAGGGAGGGATGATGGAGAAGTGATGTGGACTCGTGGAGTGACGAGCGTGTGTAGAGACAGACAGGTTGAGTGAGTTTCGGTGCACGAGTTCACTTGGTGATGGGTCTCGTGACTCTACAGAGAGCTAGTCGACTAGGCGAGAGCACTGACGATGTGAAGAAGAGTGAGAGGAAGAATTGAATGCATGGTGATGGTGTTTGTTGAGATGACGTGTTCGGACGGTGTTGTGAGTGGGAGAGGAGTGGAGTGGGGATCTGAGTCCAGTCGTCAAGAGTTGTGACAGTGATGACGATGGAATTGCATTGCACCAGGACTACAACTACACTGGATGTTGTGCGCATAACTGCGGCTGCTGCTGTGGCTGCCTCTGTTGCTGAGAAGCGTCCTGATGTCGAGAGAACATGGAGTCCAGTGGCTTGGTGTAGGCTAGGCACACCCCACTCTCACTGTTGTCACCAACAGACTGTTCTCACTCGAAACGGAGATATCTGGGACATGAGAATGTGTAATTGTGTGTGTGTGTGTGTGTGTGTGCGTGCATGCGTGCCATGTGCGTCACAGTGTTTGTGTTGAGGAGTGAGTAGGAAGTCGGTGTGTGTCGGTGTGAAGCAATCTTCCTAACACCATTTCTCTCCCTTATTCATCGCTTTTGAAAATTCACATAATTGATAAGTGAACTCACTTGGAACAGGCGTCGTCGTCGTAGCCTTGGTTGTAGTAGTGGGCGGCACAGTGGTTGCTGTGAAGAGAGGAAAAAACACATGGCTAGAGGGAGGGATGATGGAGAAGTGATGTGGACTCGTGGAGTGACGAGCGTGTGTAGAGACAGACAGGTTGAGTGAGTTTCGGTGCACGAGTTCACTTGGTGATGGGTCTCGTGACTCTACAGAGAGCTAGTCGACTAGGCGAGAGCACTGACGATGTGAAGAAGAGTGAGAGGAAGAATTGAATGCATGGTGATGGTGTTTGTTGAGATGACGTGTTCGGACGGTGTTGTGAGTGGGAGAGGAGTGGAGTGGGGATCTGAGTCCAGTCATCAAGAGTTGTGACAGTGATGAGGATGGAATTGCATTGCACCAGGACTGCAACTACACTGGATGTTGTGCGCATAACTGCGGCTGCTGGTGCTGTGGCTGCCTCTGTTGCTGAGAAGCATCATGATGTCGAGAGAACATGGAGTTCAGTGGTTCGGTGTAGGCTGGGCACACCGCACTCTCACTGTTGTCACCAACAGACTGTTCTCACTCGAAACGGAGATATCTGGGACATGAGAATGTGTAATTGTGTGTGTGTGTGTGTGTGCGTGCATGCGTGCCATGTGCGTCACAGTGTTTGTGTTGAGGAGTGAGTAGGAAGTCGGTGTGTGTCGGTGTGAAGCAATCTTCCTAACACCATTTCTCTCCCTTATTCATCGCTTTTGAAAATTCACATAATTGATAAGTGAACTCACTTGGAACAGGCGTCGTCGTCGTAGCCTTGGTTGTAGTAGTGGGCGGCACAGTGGTTGCTGTGAAGAGAGGAAAACAAACACATGGCTAGAGGGAGGGATGATGGAGAAGTGATGTGGACTCGTGGAGTGACGAGCGTGTGTAGAGACAGACAGGTTGAGTGAGTTTCGGTGCACGAGTTCACTTGGTGATGGGTCTCGTGACTCTACAGAGAGCTAGTCGACTAGGCGAGAGCACTGACGATGTGAAGAAGAGTGAGAGGAAGAATTGAATGCATGGTGATGGTGTTTGTTGAGATGACGTGTTCGGACGGTGTTGTGAGTGGGAGAGGAGTGGAGTGGGGATCTGAGTCCAGTCGTCAAGAGTTGTGACAGTGATGACGATGGAATTGCATTGCACCAGGACTACAACTACACTGGATGTTGTGCGCATAACTGCGGCTGCTGCTGTGGCTGCCTCTGTTGCTGAGAAGCGTCCTGATGTCGAGAGAACATGGAGTCCAGTGGCTTGGTGTAGGCTAGGCACACCCCACTCTCACTGTTGTCACCAACAGACTGTTCTCACTCGAAACGGAGATATCTGGGACATGAGAATGTGTAATTGTGTGTGTGTGTGTGTGTGTGCGTGCATGCGTGCCATGTGCGTCACAGTGTTTGTGTTGAGGAGTGAGTAGGAAGTCGGTGTGTGTCGGTGTGAAGCAATCTTCCTAACACCATTTCTCTCCCTTATTCATCGCTTTTGAAAATTCACATAATTGATAAGTGAACTCACTTGGAACAGGCGTCGTCGTCGTAGCCTTGGTTGTAGTAGTGGGCGGCACAGTGGTTGCTGTGAAGAGAGGAAAAACAAACACATGGCTAGAGGGAGGGATGATGGAGAAGTGATGTGGACTCGTGGAGTGACGAGCGTGTGTAGAGACAGACAGGTTGAGTGAGTTTCGGTGCACGAGTTCACTTGGTGATGGGTCTCGTGACTCTACAGAGAGCTAGTCGACTAGGCGAGAGCACTGACGATGTGAAGAAGAGTGAGAGGAAGAATTGAATGCATGGTGATGGTGTTTGTTGAGATGACGTGTTCGGACGGTGTTGTGAGTGGGAGAGGAGTGGAGTGGGGATCTGAGTCCAGTCGTCAAGAGTTGTGACAGTGATGACGATGGAATTGCATTGCACCAGGACTACAACTACACTGGATGTTGTGCGCATAACTGCGGCTGCTGCTGTGGCTGCCTCTGTTGCTGAGAAGCGTCGTGATGTCGAGAGAACATGGAGTCCAGTGGCTTGGTGTAGGCTAGGCACACCCCACTCTCACTGTTGTCACCAACAGACTGTTCTCACTCGAAACGGAGATATTTGGGACATGAGAATGTGTAATTGTGTGTGTGTTGTGTGTGTGCGTGCATGCGTGCCATGTGCGTCACAGTGTTTGTGTTGAGGAGTGAGTAGGAAGTCGGTGTGTGTCGGTGTGAAGCAATCTTCCTAACACCATTTCTCTCCCTTATTCATCGCTTTTGAAAATTCACATAATTGATAAGTGAACTCACTTGGAACAGGCGTCGTCGTCGTAGCCTTGGTTGTAGTAGTGGGCGGCACAGTGGTTGCTGTGAAGAGAGGAAAACAAACACATGGCTAGAGGGAGGGATGATGGAGAAGTGATGTGGACTCGTGGAGTGACGAGCGTGTGTAGAGACAGACAGGTTGAGTGAGTTTCGGTGCACGAGTTCACTTGGTGATGGGTCTCGTGACTCTACAGAGAGCTAGTCGACTAGGCGAGAGCACTGACGATGTGAAGAAGAGTGAGAGGAAGAATTGAATGCATGGTGATGGTGTTTGTTGAGATGACGTGTTCGGACGGTGTTGTGAGTGGGAGAGGAGTGGAGTGGGGATCTGAGTCCAGTCGTCAAGAGTTGTGACAGTGATGACGATGGAATTGCATTGCACCAGGACTACAACTACACTGGATGTTGTGCGCATAACTGCGGCTGCTGCTGTGCCTGCCTCTGTTGCTGAGAAGCGTCGTGATGTCGAGAGAACATGGAGTCCAGTGGCTTGGTGTAGGCTAGGCACACCCCACTCTCACTGTTGTCACCAACAGACTGTTCTCACTCGAAACGGAGATATCTGGGACATGAGAATGTGTAATTGTGTGTGTGTGTGTGTGTGCGTGCATGCGTGCCATGTGCGTCACAGTGTTTGTGTTGAGGAGTGAGTAGGAAGTCGGTGTGTGTCGGTGTGAAGCAATCTTCCTAACACCATTTCTCTCCCTTATTCATCGCTTTTGAAAATTCACATAATTGATAAGTGAACTCACTTGGAACAGGCGTCGTCGTCGTAGCCTTGGTTGTAGTAGTGGGCGGCACAGTGGTTGCTGTGAAGAGAGGAAAAACAAACACATGGCTAGAGGGAGGGATGATGGAGAAGTGATGTGGACTCGTGGAGTGACGAGCGTGTGTAGAGACAGACAGGTTGAGTGAGTTTCGGTGCACGAGTTCACTTGGTGATGGGTCTCGTGACTCTACAGAGAGCTAGTCGACTAGGCGAGAGCACTGACGATGTGAAGAAGAGTGAGAGGAAGAATTGAATGCATGGTGATGGTGTTTGTTGAGATGACGTGTTCGGACGGTGTTGTGAGTGGGAGAGGAGTGGAGTGGGGATCTGAGTCCAGTCGTCAAGAGTTGTGACAGTGATGACGATGGAATTGCATTGCACCAGGACTACAACTACACTGGATGTTGTGCGCATAACTGCGGCTGCTGCTGTGGCTGCCTCTGTTGCTGAGAAGCGTCCTGATGTCGAGAGAACATGGAGTCCAGTGGCTTGGTGTAGGCTAGGCACACCCCACTCTCACTGTTGTCACCAACAGACTGTTCTCACTCGAAACGGAGATATCTGGGACATGAGAATGTGTAATTGTGTGTGTGTGTGTGTGTGCGTGCATGCGTGCCATGTGCGTCACAGTGTTTGTGTTGAGGAGTGAGTAGGAAGTCGGTGTGTGTCGGTGTGAAGCAATCTTCCTAACACCATTTCTCTCCCTTATTCATCGCTTTTGAAAATTCACATAATTGATAAGTGAACTCACTTGGAACAGGCGTCGTCGTCGTAGCCTTGGTTGTAGTAGTGGGCGGCACAGTGGTTGCTGTGAAGAGAGGAAAAAACACATGGCTAGAGGGAGGGATGATGGAGAAGTGATGTGGACTCGTGGAGTGACGAGCGTGTGTAGAGACAGACAGGTTGAGTGAGTTTCGGTGCACGAGTTCACTTGGTGATGGGTCTCGTGACTCTACAGAGAGCTAGTCGACTAGGCGAGAGCACTGACGATGTGAAGAAGAGTGAGAGGAAGAATTGAATGCATGGTGATGGTGTTTGTTGAGATGACGTGTTCGGACGGTGTTGTGAGTGGGAGAGGAGTGGAGTGGGGATCTGAGTCCAGTCGTCAAGAGTTGTGACAGTGATGACGATGGAATTGCATTGCACCAGGACTACAACTACACTGGATGTTGTGCGCATAACTGCGGCTGCTGCTGTGCCTGCCTCTGTTGCTGAGAAGCGTCCTGATGTCGAGAGAACATGGAGTCCAGTGGCTTGGTGTAGGCTAGGCACACCCCACTCTCACTGTTGTCACCAACAGACTGTTCTCACTCGAAACGGAGATATCTGGGACATGAGAATGTGTAATTGTGTGTGTGTGTGTGTGTGCGTGCATGCGTGCCATGTGCGTCACAGTGTTTGTGTTGAGGAGTGAGTAGGAAGTCGGTGTGTGTCGGTGTGAAGCAATCTTCCTAACACCATTTCTCTCCCTTATTCATCGCTTTTGAAAATTCACATAATTGATAAGTGAACTCACTTGGAACAGGCGTCGTCGTCGTAGCCTTGGTTGTAGTAGTGGGCGGCACAGTGGTTGCTGTGAAGAGAGGAAAAACAAACACATGGCTAGAGGGAGGGATGATGGAGAAGTGATGTGGACTCGTGGAGTGACGAGCGTGTGTAGAGACAGACAGGTTGAGTGAGTTTCGGTGCACGAGTTCACTTGGTGATGGGTCTCGTGACTCTACAGAGAGCTAGTCGACTAGGCGAGAGCACTGACGATGTGAAGAAGAGTGAGAGGAAGAATTGAATGCATGGTGATGGTGTTTGTTGAGATGACGTGTTCGGACGTTGTTGTGATTTGGTTTCTTAATCCTGTTTTCTGCTGTTTTTTCTGGGATGACGATATAGTTTCATTGCTTCCTCACTACATCTGCTCTTATTGAGTTTATATATTTTACGTTTCCATTGGATTTTGTCAACCTTTTTCTCGGAATTTTTCGATTTTATTTGATAACCTGGATGCTGACTCTTATTTGCGTGATGTCGTTTTTCGTGGCAGAGTTCGCTGATGTCCTAGAATACGCACATTGTTGTTGTTTTAATGAGCTTTTCGTCTTTATGAGTGTTTATAATTGATGTTCCTTAATATTCATAGTGTTTTCTCTCAGTCGGATTCTGGCTATTCGCTGGTCTTTTTATATTGTCTATTTCATGAATTTCTACGTGTACTATCCAATGAATTGTTTGATCTACTCTTCCTGGGTTTATTTTTTAACGTTTTCTCCTGTGGTTTTGTTAATTGTTCTTTATTTTTCTTGATAGTTTGTTTCTTTTTTCTCGGTATATGTTTTCTTTGTCGTCTGGGTCTTTTGCGAACACTCATTATTTTCCTAGATTTGTTAGAATTGTTACTTACCTTATTTATTTCTTTTCTGTGATGGTTTTTAAGTCCTATATACTTTTAAGATCTGTTTATTTTAATCAATAATGACCACGGAATGCGTGCGTACCATTAGCGTTACATGCAAACCATCCGCTAGATTTAAGGATATGCGTTTTATTCTACATGCAATCACAAATTTAGGTGTTTCTTTCCATGTTTAATGGTTATGAAAACGATTTCATCTATATGATCTACGATGCACTATCCTTCCATTTATTTATTTTTACTAAAAGCAAAAGATAATAATGATAATAAAACGCCCTGGCTCCAATCCTAAACATAAGTCTAATACTAATCGTAACCCTAACCTGTTATCAACCCACTGCCCAAGAAGTACTTATAACCGATGATCAAGATGAAATTTTCACATCACTTCGTGCACAGCGTTCATAGTAGAGCTGTAATAACGCCAGGTTCTCTGATGCAATGAATGGTATGATTTAAATGTCATCATTGTGTTCGCAGTCCACAGGCACTATTCTTTAGGTTGACCTTAATTCCCTCAACTGTCTTTTAGTTTGCCTTCATGCATATTCCTCATTTTCCTTAGATTTCATTGCTTTTCATTTAATGTTTGTTTTGGCATAGTTAATGTTTGTTGACATTTGTGTGTTCTCACCGTGTGGTTGGTAATTCTTTTTACCGTTTTCTACAATTGATACATACTATACAATATATTTTTTCATTTGTTATCACAGAGAAGTTTTTAAGCTGAATTTTCTGATTAAATCAATTGTAACACAGCAGAATTTAAAAGATCATAACTCACGTCTCACTGTAGCTTTAGTAGTGGTTGGTTTCTGAGTTGACTCTTGAACTACAACCGTCAATTAAAAAGGAGGGATAATTGTTTAGTGCGAGTGATTTGAAAATAATGCAGTCTGATAACTAAGTGATTGTAAGTTAGGTATTTTCAAGTAAAGTTTTATATGAGCCTACTTAGATAATTTCTAAAGTATTTGTAATGTAATTTTTTTCTCTGAATTGTCGAGTACTAACTTCTGTGAATGATTTACAATACAGTTTACACATATAAAAGAGCATTTAATACAGCGAATCTTTCAAGTATAATAGTTCACATACTTTTTTTAATTTTCCTCCATCGTATTTCTAAATTTTAGAAAATAAATCAGTAACGGCAAATTAGTTGCTACAAAGCGTACAATTAGTAACAAGTAGTAAAAATACCATATAAAATTTCATACTCCACAATAATAACTGAACAGTTTATAAATTGAAAAGTATGTTTGTTGAAAATTGACCTAAACTGTTGTAGTGTAGAGAAGTAATATTACTTCGATAAAGCTATTAGCTTCAAGTGTGATCACGGATTAATATCAGTCATGACCAGTGGTAGTTTACTAGGTTGAATGTGAGGACAAATACTCACTGATAACTTTGGCTGGTGTTCATGTTGAAGAAGTTAGAATCGATGGGCCATTGGATTCCGTCTGAGAGGCTGAATGCTTCACGAGCTCGCCTTGTAAACTGAAGGGCCTGGGTTCAATTCCTGGTTGGGTTATGGGTGCTTAATACTCATGAGTCAGTAAGTAGGACAAAAGAGTTGTCCAGTATTACTTAATTTAGAGTAAATCATTAAGTGACAACAATTCGTGATCAAAATCATGCCAATCAAGTCGCAACAAGCAAAGGCTTGAAAATCTATGAGCGTCATACAGCAAAACGGCAGTAGACACAATATGCTTTTGAATTTCATTCACAGCGAAGTACAAACAATTCTAATATTATTACCGATTATTTTATACTTTTACATTCTCAGTGGAACATAGGGCTTCAAACTAGAGCTTTGAAGCTTCGATAGCCGTGGTATTTATTTTCACGTGATGGGGTTGCTAGCCTCGTGCCCAACCTTCACTCTTTACCAGTATGATTACTGGCTTGGCGAGGTAAAGGAGTGCGTTGGCCGGTGATCGAACCCCGAACCACCTGTGTGGTTGGCGAGCAATCTACCTCTGTGCCATATATACATATATATATCAGTATGTAGAGAGTTTAGCAGTGCCATGTCAATTCAATAAAATTCTCTGATTGTATTGTCATGAAATATGATCTTCCACTTGTTGGAAGAGTAGCCCTCTTTCATTCACTTATCAATACATACTAATGATGGTTTTATAGACTTACTTTTAACTATTTTTACATCACCTTCACTATCCTCTGTAAAGAGAAGAAAACATGGGTTTTAAATTTTTACATAACCCTACATTTTACTGTCATATAAATGTGTGAACCTATAAATTTGTTCTATTCTAATTAGTTTATTTTATTGAGTTGTATTTCAATGGTATTTCAAACAAATTTTACCCGGCAATAAATGCAAACGCTAAGAACAGTGACAATGGGGTGCGAACGCACCCATAACCTTGAATGCATACTATTCGTTGGATTACATAATTCTCCGTGTATTCTACATCAAAAGCCGTCCAACTATGAGGAAAATTAATATAATAATAACAATAATGAAACACATTAAAGATGACATTTTACCTCGACTTAACTGAATACATCCCGGTTAGAATGCTGGATATTCGTTTTCATGTTTTATAGCTATGAAAATGGTCATATATATATATATACTGGCTTCCAAGCCTTGCCTTCTGCTGTTACAATAGTACTCAACGAGTGGATAAAATATAATGTTTTGTCAACGTAATAATTTTTGATGATATTAGGACCTCATTTTGAGTTGTTACCTTTAAAAGTTCTATAAAATATCTACTTTATGTTAGATATATTTCGAGAATAACCGGATAAAAATCCAGAGGTTAAATTATGAATTTGAGAAGATAGAGATAAAGAAAATGAATGAACTGTCGATTGTAAGGTGTAAATTACATCCTTAGATTCCACGGAGTAATATGACCATTATTATAATCAAGAGATTAGAAGAATTATTTCATTCCTAACAGAGTATGTCATTTAGAAAAACGTAGTGGTAGAAGAAAAGTTGTGAGCTACTGTTATAAGATTCAAAATATCTTATACAATATCAGACTACTTAAATTAACGCTGTGCAAGGTAAAAGTTTCCTTAAAATTTTACAGATTTAATGCACAAAAACAAAAACTGGTAATAATTCCGAAATCGACTATAATTAAACATACAATGGGTATTTAAAAGATTTATTAATGTAACTCACACAACTTTCGACTTACTTTTACAAATTTTCTTTTCTTTTTCTTAATGAATGAATTAAAAATTTAATTTTACGTCAGATGGTTTAAATTGGAGAATATACAAGTAATTGCATAAACCAAATACTGAAGAAAACAATATTTCTAAGAAAAAGTCGTGTATGATTTGAATTATCAGTCGGAGGAAATATTCAGGAGTTGGGTTCAACTCTGGTAGTGAACTCTCGGTCAACATTTTACACAAGAACGACAAACTTTAATATATGTGTAAAACTTAGGCACGGTGGTAGTAAGTAGTTCCATATTAGTTTGTTTATTAGATGTATCACACAGTGAAACAGTATTATTATTTACTGGATGACGTTTCGAACAAAATTTATTGTTCATAATCATATCAATTATAATCACACGACTTCGAAACTTGAGTTTTATAGTTTTCTTTATCCTTTCCTATTCGTCGTCGCTAGGGTAGTAGAATTTTCCAGATGTCCGAGTGGACAGGTGTTGAATCATTCCTATTACACGTGTTGGTTCGCAGTTGATTAGATAAACAAAGCTTCCGTTATCAATCTGTCCCTTCATCCTGCTATATCAGTTAGATTTTAAAACTGTCATCTTATCCCATCCAGCCTTTTGTATGTAGTCCTGTGCCATGAACTGAACTATTCTCTAGATTTCTTATCTTATTCGGGTCAACTAATCTAGATTTTGCTAGGTTTTTATGCTTGGCTAGTCTGACTGCCCCTGTTCTACTACTTTGACCTATGTATTTGACCTGACAATCATTGTAGGGTATTAGACAAACTAAATCATTTTGTTTTAAAGGCTCCACAGGATCCAGTAACCGACAAAGCATGTTTCTAATTGAGTTTGTGGGTTTGAATGCCACTTTTATTCCTGCCTTGTTAAGAATTCTGCGTAGGGTTACCGAGGTTCCTTCTTTGTATGGAATTACTACTGATGATTTAGATTCCTTATTGTTGGTGTTATCATTATCTGGCGCATGTTTGACACGCATGTCGTCATTAATATTACCATTATTATTAATATGATTATCACTTATATTACTACTCATCATCATCATCATCTAATCAACTGCGAACCAACATGTGTAATAGGAATGATTCAACACCTGTCCACTCGGACATCTGGAAAATTCTACTACCCTAGCGACGACGAATAGGAAAGGATAAAGAAAACTATAAAACTCAAGTTTCGAAGTCGTGTGATTATAATTGATATGATTATGAACAATAAATTTTGTTCGAAACGTCATCCAGTAAATAATAATACTGTTTCACTGTGTGATACATCTAATAAACGAAGTAATACGGAACGACAATATTTGTCCATGTTTCCATGTTCAAATCTAATAGTGTTGAAAATTTCTAATTGTGGTTTTACTCGACTTCTGGAGTAAATTAATACTGTACGACCTTATTACTACAGCTTTTAGTAAGTAGCGAAAGGTATTCACTTTGATTGTCCATTTCGATAATTTTGAAATATTATAGATTATGACAATTTCAGGTCACACATGGCATTTCTTATAGTGGAATTTCTGATTCTACTTCTTCTGTTCTGATTTTATTGAAGTGTGTTGTTCTCGAAACCTTACATTTATTTTTAGCGATGGCATTAGGCAAGAGAGCACATCTTTAGTTTTCGGCTTCCTAGTTACTATTTAAGCACCCTTAAGGTTCCTTGTGAACCAGCTGATCAGCTCAACAATGATGACTACCGTACAATCTAGATTTCAGTTTATAAATCATGTTAATTAACATTATATACAGTTTGGCTTAAGATGTCTACTGAAACTTAGTTACAAACGCAGAGGTTTTGATACTGCTGCTACTATAAAAACAAGATTATATGCTTACATTACCTTAATTACTTTACGCTTATACACTATTGTAATACCGAGCATATAGTATAAAGCAGTTGCATGCATACGACGTTAACAAGACAAAACATTTTATGTGATCGGCAGATAATCAGAATCCAATTTTCAAGACAGGAAAATGTGTTCATAGAATAACGTCAGTTAATATGGATACTAGTAGGTGTGTTTCAGTGATGCAATACTCGCCAGCTACGCTCGAGGTCAGAATGCGATTGTCAGCCAACGCACTTCAAAACCACGCCTAGTTCACTTGCCGATACTAAGCAGGGCACAGAGGGAAAGTTAGGCATAAAAGCAATACCACCCTTACTGAAAACATAAAGTCTGATGCCCCGTGATTCACTCAGAACACAACGAATGAAAAAATAGCACCTGTGACTGGTTACTCAACTTAAGCCTGAAGTCATACTTTAAGATACTTGACTTTGGAAACTGCATTTCACATGGTTACTTTTGTGTAAGTTTATTATTATTTCCAAAGTGTAATAGTAAGTTGAACGTTCATACGACCTGTCCTGTACTAAACCACAGAAGTTTGAGTCCGATAATTGTAGATAAGGTCAGATGTTGTCCAATAGTTTTTATGAAAAAACCATCTATTAAGCGTATGCCATTTACGTTTATACAAAATTATCTGATTTACCTAAGGTTATTTCTTTAATTTTTTATTCCTTTTACGTTCTCAGTGAAACATAGGGCTTCAAACTAGAGCTTTGAAGCTTCGATAGCCGTGGTATTTATTTTCACGTGATGGGGTTGCTAGCCTCGTGCCCAACCTTCACTCTTTACCAGTATGATTACTGGCTTGGCGAGGTAAAGGAATGCGTTGTCCGGTGATCTAACACCGTATCACCTAGGTGATTTGTTAGCATTCTCACGCTGTGCAAGTGACGCACGGCACTTATTTATTAGTGTTAATTATATCATATTTTAAAAGTTGTATGCTTACTTTTATCTACTCTGCAGGGTTTGCGTTTTATACCTGTGAATATGAAAAGTTGGCATTTTCAATTGAATAAAGTCAAAAATTGAATCAAAAGAACAGTGCTTTTTAAATCTCGTGGCAAGTTTGTTACCGTTTGTCATGAGAAAAATAACCATTGAATGCCTAGAAGCCATAAGTATCTCTTCTATCTTATTTAGTCAATTTCTATGAAAAAATAAATTTGAAAATCATCTGGTCTCTGCACAAACATTTTGTCGCTGCAAATGTAGCATATAAATATTATTAATGCTCACTAATAATATTCTCAGAAAAGGGATAAGCTACATCGTTTTATCAGATTCGGTACAATCATCATTATGAATACACAATCAAAAATCTTACTAACTATACACTAACGTGGAGGTGAAGTTATTTTCTCAATTCATTTCGTTTACTAGACGCATTCATCAGTGACTTGATTGTGAACAGTTAACATGGAATTATACACTGCTACACTCCACAAATTTCTACATTCTTAGTGGTGAATTGGTTCTCTCCGAATTTTATTAATTGTTTATCCCAGGCTTGCAGAAGTTCCCAATCAAATATATTTAGATCACAATAACTTATTTCAAAAGAAAGGTATCTGAATTTATAATAGTTAATGAGTATTAGGCACACTCATATTTGTAGTTAATTTTCACTAATCTAATGCGTTCACACCACATATGGAATCAAGATTAAGGTTAAGTTACTAATGTACAACTTGCAGATTTGTTTCTATGTTATCCTAATTTTCTTTTTATTACAAAATGTTTAAGCAAATTTAACTTTTATCGTAGTAACTTGTAAAATAATTGACAATTCATTTTAAAAAGTTTTACTCACGTGAACTTCTACCGACAATCTTGTAAGCTGAAGAAATGTAATATGTACCATTAGAATAACGTTGGCTCGAAAAATGTTCAATATTTTAAAGCGATGAAGTTATATTCATTTAAATACTACAATATTGACGTTAAAATTGTAAGTTTGAAGGAAGATTTGATCTGAAAACTCACTTCAACAGTTGTTTAGTCATTCAGTTTGAAAATATGCATAGGAGTGCATGCTTATTATCCTAAAGCGCGATATTTTTGCTGCACCCCTCTGTGTTCGATTCAGAGCTATATAAGTCTTTGAAAGTTCTAATCGCTCATATAGTAGAGACGTATACAATTAACTGTTTCATTCTTGTATATTAAACATTGATGGCGAAATATTGCTCTTGATAATTTATAAAGTGGCCACACAACTTCCATACTTCATTTCCTTTGTTGTTTACTTATCTTCTAAAAGATTTCATTAAAACCTATTTATTATTATTTTTTTTATGTCTTGATTCCACACAGTATATTTTGTACAACTATGGAATTTTCAGCATGTGATATCGGTAGTCCAAATTTAGCAGGCCGACCATTGATATCGAACCCCGGACCATGTGCATGGGCGGCGAGTCGCTGTGCCGCTGACGAAAATAATTATGTCCATAAAAGCTAAACAAGACTGAAAGAATGCTTGATGCTCATCCAATGTTATCATATTCAGATAGGATTGCAAGGATTTTTAACAGAACTTAAATTACAGCAGGACTTGAAATCATTAACCCGTTCAAATAATGAGATTTAAACAAGAATTCCAACGGGAACTGAAAGTTCTCAGGTCAAAGTTACTCATATGCTGACATTAAAAACGGTATTAAACAAAACAATCTAAAATGTAGCTCGATATACATTACTGGTTGATAAGAGTTGATTCCGATCACTCGTATCAAGCAATAGGCACAGTTTATTACCTTAATTCGCATAGTTTCTTTTGCAGTTTGCATAGGTTCTTACCGGAAACTACCGATTGTACATGTATGAACTGTCTAATAACAGAATGAAATATCCGCAGTTATTTGTTTTATTCGGACTACAAATTATTAATGCGTTTTAAAAATATCAGTACTATTTGAAATTTTTCTGGTAATCTATCTTAACAGCTCATGAGTAGAAATCACTTATTAACTTATCCTTTAAACTCTTATATAAGGATAAATATAGAAATTACATAAATCTGTAATAAATGGATCATCATCTGTGTACTTACCGCGTTCTGTAACCACAGGGTCTGTCTCATAATCTGACCATACTGGAAGAGAAAAGAAGTAGAATGTTTAGGATTATGTACAGTTTTTAAGTGTCTATGTAATGAGAAATCATATTTTGGAACGTCTGTTAAGAAATGAATCTTAGAATATCATTCCCAACAATTTAAACAATAATTCGAACGAAACCTCTCACAGAGTCTTCAGTATCATGAAATGACTTGTCACTTCATTCAACAGTTAACAGTTCGTTTTCAGGTATTGGTTTGTATGGATTTGACCAATTTCAGGATAGGTGTCCGCACGAATCACAGTACATTGCTAATTGACAGAAATTGGAATTCATTGACAATTAGATTCTGACTCTCGTAATCCGAACGTCTTGTGTTAGACCCTAAATGAGATCACTGGTCTGCACTGCAGAAGAATTCCAAGGTAGGAAGAAGCAGCTACACACTGCTTTCAATTTCCTAGCAATTCATTCGCTTGAGAAGACGTAACTAAATTTGTTGATGCATAACGATAGAACTCGGAAAATGCGTTTGATCGGATATTAAATTAGGTGTATCTGCATCCTAATGAGCTGATATTTGCTTAATATACTAAGTTCTCCGCTTCGAATTTGCACAGTTAATTTGATCAGTAGAATTCTGTAGACGCCATCACTTTAAGGAACATATATTTGGCAATAATTAGCAGACGATTTTCATCTAAAGCAGTATGACATAACCTAGGATAAATCACGCTCAAACATTTATTAATATTTCCAAAACTTTGAGTCCAGTAACCTCCTTTCCTCATACTATAGAGGACGCAGATGTTCGTTGACCGTTTTGCTTCATTTCTTACACTCCACCAAAGATTTTCATACTTAAAGTGAAAAATTATCAGATGTAAGTAATCCGTTGTTTTCAAGAAGCATCAACCACCGACCACCCTCACCCCAAAAAATGTTTACAAATTTAAATTGTATGAGCGTCTTACTGTAAGACTGTGAACAATTACTTACTGTCTTTACATAAAACTCCAGAGTCACAGCAATGAATAAAGACAGCGAGACCCAATATCTTTAAAGAAAATATTATATTAAAAGTGTCATAGCTCATTACTTACCAAGAGCTTAATCATTTCGCAATGATCAACAGTTATTCTGACTTCAAATAATCCTAACATATTTATATGCAATAGAGATTATCGACATTTCACATGGTGTATTGACTGTCCAATTACGAGGGAATTTGAAAGATCACTTTTTCTCACCTTAAAGCTATAAAACCTTGTTCCATACTACGGCTTTTTGTCTTTTCGGAACTAACCACTAATCTCTGTTACCTAAGCAACTTTCCACCTGAAAAAGTTATACATTCATGTGTTTACTATTCAGTAAGAGAATGACGATAAGAGCTGGGTCTTTAATTCTACCTTCAAAATATATTTTGCTTCCAGGACAAAATGGTTTAGCCTTGATACACTTAAAGTAATCCAGAGATTTTGCACATAATTGTTTTGAAATAGTCTAGCAAACTTTTCATATTGATGTCGTGAATATTAGAAAAATCACATTGAATGAAAGTAAGTATATTCTAAGGAGAAATCAAATTCGTTACAACGTCTTACAAGGAAAACTTTTAACTGACTTAATGTCACTTATTGTTTTTTCAAAGTAGTTCTTAGACAAGATACTTGTGTTCTTGAGTTAAAAAACACTCTTGCTAACAGTTATTTCGGTTAGCATGAAGTTGCTCTAAAATCTGTCACTAATTTTATAATTCGAGCTGCGTAAACAAAACTGACTGCATAGGAAATAAGTTACACCAAAGATTGGGTGATTGATACACTTTCAAACAGAAATTTACCATCTTTTTGTATTTCTTCATAAAGATAATCCACAGTTACCGTGAATTAAACACCTTAATGAGAACTTCTTCTTAATTATTAAGCAATATGAGTACTTGAGTTTTATTAGTTGTGTGTGCACAAATAGTACATTTCAGGAGTAAAGTAAATCCACTGGCATAACGTTTTTGTCACTCGAAAGCAACACAATTTCTGTTAAAGACACCACGCAAGTAAATTAAGTTGTTTACATTTAGAACTGGGTAAAATCCACAGTAGATGACTGTCAACTGTAATTTAGATCATTCAGAAATAACAAAAAATGAACCTATGAACTAGCTTTGCTTATAAAGTGATTTACTTTCAAACTGTTAAGAAAACAATTTTCTCGTCAGTGCCAGGCATCCTGCATGCTGAGAAAAGAAGCAATATTTTGTCATTAAGAGGGTTAAAAAAACTAGTTGCATCCTTTGTAGATAACCTCGCCTAGTCAACTAGCTTGCTAGTTTTCTTGCCGGTCCCGAGCCCGGGTACAGAGGGAGGGTTGGGCGGAGGACTAGCTACCCTACACCACCAAACCTATCAAACCACTAGAGAAACTTCAACACACAAAAATATATGAAAAAGGATAATAATTCAATGTAGATGGATATTTTGGCTTCCTTTTTCAGCCAATGAAATGAAATGCACCTGGTTAACATATGGTACATCTAATTTTTAATCTACAGTCCAATTTTGCTTAGTCAGTCTTTGAGTAAACAAAGTAGGACCGTTATTTTGCAGCAAATAGATATAAAGTAGGACGTTTTCATTATATATATGCTGTCAGTAATATGAAACTGTTTTCTTCAGATTCCTTTAATAATTGTAGGATAATGAAAAAATGTTTTTTCGACGAAGTCATCGTCTAGGCTGTACATTCGTGTATTTATATCAAATGGATGGGAAAGTTCCAGAACAATTTCTGATTAGGGGTTAAATTAATAAAAATTACAATTAGGAATTATAATGCCATAATAAACAGGGGGACATTTGGGCATAGCTGAGGCGTTAGCTATCCGAAAACTCAAACCCACCCTTTGTATCCAAAAGAAATACATCCAACCCCTGTCCCTGCCATGGCCATCATAAACAGGTAAAATTTTTTAGTAATGACAATCTCATCGCCTTCTTATCTAAACTTCCTGTTTATTCATGTTATTTTAAGTTTTCTTAATCCCTGTCTACCCTACCATATTTTCATATCCACACTTCCAGTTTATTTTGTCATTTTATTATTTCTACATATTTAATCCCTGATTGCATAAACAATTATTCATCACACTAGTTTCCTATCCAAACATCCTGTATATTTTGTTATTTTTACATTTCTAACCCCGATTGCACAATGTCAATTTTCTTAGTTATTATGCTACTTGTTTGAGTTTTACCCATCCCCCTGTTTATTATGGCATTATAATTCCTAATTGTAATTTTTATTAATTTAACCCCTAATCAGAAATTGTTCTGGAACTTTCCCATCCATTTGATATAAATACACGAATGTACAGCCTATATGATGACTTCGTCGAAAAGAAAATTTTCTTCGCTCCAACTGTCTTTTTATTCCCTACGATCAAATGTGTATATTCCGTGATTTGAAAAAAATGTTTGTATAAAATACGTAAATTACGCCCTCGGGATAGGGTTATTAGTGAATGCACGCAAATTGCTTCATATATGAAGACTTTATCTTAATTTGGACAAACAAATTCACTGTTAGCCAGAATTTCAATGAAAAGTAATGGCCAGCAGAAGGTAATGCATCATAAAAATCCCTGAATATATATATATATACCATCAAAGGTGTGTGCTTTACATTTACTGATACACATTTACAAATTGTTTCGCAGTTTTACTCAGCTATTTTCTTAACGTTACCTCAGAGCCTGATGCTACTTTAATAATATACAATGTGCCACTGGGACTGTAGCTCAGTGACACGTGAATATGAGAACAATAGTGTCAATGTTTGTTCTACTCATAAACTATCCGTAATCAAGTTAGCAACATGAGTTTTAATGTATTAATGTGATTCACTTATAATTTCATGGATATACAGGCAGTCGTTCAAACCACGAATCATCAAGAAATCAAACTTACACTTAGGGCAGCACCTGATTAATTAATTAATTTGTATTTGCCTTCTGATAATCTGTTCAATAGCTTTGGTTCACAAAATTAATCACAAACAATCTAATCCCAATTCGCAAATCGCGAATTTCATCTAACGTATTACCAGTTTATCTAAGTAGCTTGTCAGAATTCGGGTGGTCTGAATTGATTCGGCTCTCTGGAGTGAGTCAAACCGGGTACGCCTTAGATGATCCCAGCCCAAAAGGACCGAAACGGCTGTCCGGTGTTTAGAGCACTTCAGTCAGGTTAGCAAGTAATGCTGATTGAAGTGAGTTGTGCCCATCTACTCACGTTAACCGATCAGTAGTTGTATCGATCATAGATGTACTAATGGACTTAACCCTAAGTGACTTCATATACTCAGGGATTGACTTGCTACCAGGGAATAAGCTCGTTGACTTAAAATATGCAGACGATATAGGCGAGGACGCTAAAAAATGAAGAGTCTTCTGAACACTTTGAGTTGCAATCTTCGGATGTTTAGCATGCGATTCGCTCCTGCCAAATGTAAGATGATTTTACAGGACTGAACTACACTGACTTCTAGTTTAGAAATAGGGAGTGAAGTGGTAGAGCACGTTGACCACTTCACTTATTTCGGAAGTACCATCAGCCTCAACGGGTTGATCTATGATGAAATCTCAGCACGGATACAGAAGGCTAGTTTCGCATGTTTCAGTTCACGCCGTCTCTGCCATAGATGTGATATCCAGCTGGCTATCGACCAAACGGCGTGTGTACTGCTTAACAGTCCGCTCCCTCCTCGTTTATGGCTCTGAGACCTGGCCATGAGAGTGGAAGACATGAAAAGGCTAGCTGTCCTTGATCATAGGTGACTGCATTGTATCTCCCGTGTGAAGTGGTATAGTAGGGTGAGCAATATTGAGGTTAGGCTTTGAGTGCTAGGTAACGAGGGGAAATCAGTCAACAAGGTGGTTGTGAGGTAACATTGATTGAGATGGATGGTTAGAATATATGTTACGCATGCCTAGCTATCTCCTTCCTCGACGGGCAATGTTAGTTGACATAGGGTCAGGCTGGAAAAGAGCTAGCGGTAGTCAGTGGCACAGTGGTTAGGACTCTCGCCGACCATGCACATGGTCCGGGGTTCGATCCCCTGCCGACGCACACCCGATATCTATGGTTGGCCTGTGAAATTTGGGCTACCGATATCCATGCTGAAAATGCCATACTTGTACCGAAAATACAGTGTGGCATCAAGCTGTAATCAAAAATAAAAAAACCTAAACATGGCTTCATCAGTCAATGAAATTCAAAACAGTTAGTTTAAGCCAGCCGCGTAGGAAAGTGTAGACCTCCTGGTTAGGATCATCGGGACGATGAAAATTAATGCCTGGAGACAATTGGTGATATGGCTAAAAATCGTTCTCGATGGCGCAGTTGCATCCACTCCTTGTGACTTATAATTTCCAATGAAACTATATTGTTCTTCGTTATTACTATTCCTTTTGTCTCATATCCCTGTCTACTGTCTCTATTTTAAATTTCCTCTACTTTCTACTCTTGCTTTGTGTGCTACATGGAGTGTGGCGACTTGAACTGCTGCATATCGATGCAAAGTTCTCTGTTGAAAACAAACAGACAGCCAGACATAACCTTGACATATTTTTGAACCACAAATCGCTTTCGAAAAGTCATCGTTAAATAAATTATACTCAATCACCATGTATTTTATCAAATAAAATTATTCTATTACGAAATTACATACTCTACCAAGGTGACTCAATTTTATTCTTATATCAGCATATATTTGTTTTAATTTTTTGTGATCATTTACTTTTGACATCGTTATTTGACACTTGTTCACAGAAGAATCGACTAGTTTTACTCGACCTCATTACGGAGTGTTAAGTAAACTTCCTAGAAACATTCGTAAATTTATATGCACCTTTCGGTGTTCATTACCGATCAAGGGATATTTCCCAATAATCTGTTGAAATTTCATTAAAAATATTGCGAAGATTGATAAAAAAAATCTATCGAAATTAAGCAGCCAGTAAGCATCGATATATTGAACAAAATGTGCTTGAAATATTGTGTGTGGTTATTTTACTTTAGAAAGCAGAATGATTGAGCGAAGAAATATTTACTACTCA